CAGTTTTGGCCGAATTCCACCGCTACAGCTGTAAGTACTTGCTCTCATCGTGAATTCTTAAGTGATATCAAGAATCAAAGACTTACAGCAGACTACTAAATAGACATTAACATAAAATTCTTCACTACAGCAATCTGCTGACTCTTTTTCGACAGTCTGTGAAAAGGCGTCAATGGATGCACGTACGGTTTTGATGATGTTCTTTCAGTATACATAGAAGTATGGCCAATAAACGGTCATATACCCAATACTTATTGTTTTGTCCAGTTTCCAAAAGCACAACTTACTCCTCTGTTTGAGTAACCGAAGATGAATAGGCACGTGATTCTTTACGTGATTAGTGCGCACCGCATTCTAAATGACATTCGAAATTCAACTTCATGTCAGGAATTTCCAATTTGTCAGTAAGAACTTCACTTACATATGTTAGCCTAGCTTATGTTATGACTGCAGTTGTACTATGACAAAAGCACTGCAGTTAGCCATCTAATAAAAAGAAAATGCTCAGATTTCCAAATTTGGCGCAGCATCACCTCATGGATGTGAGCAATGAGGGGCATTTGCCGTTCTTACAATAAGAAGCAAAAAATATATGTCAGAGAAAATTTACACCTTGGATCGAATTTCAACTAATCTCTAATATTTGTCCCTCTGGGGTGAACATTTTTCGGGAGCTTGGACATATTTCTACGATTTGTGTGCCCTTTTCTGATAGTTTATATTCCGATAAACGTTTGAATAATTTTTTATACTCGCCCATTTTCCACGTAGGTTCTTGAAAAGTTGTTTCAAAAGTTTTTTAAAAAGCTCAATATGACTGAAAAAAAAACGCTGAAATATCATCATAGTGTCGTTTATATTTAATTAATATATTAGCATGTAGTTATTCTGTCATAACTCCTCCATTGATACTTGAAATGAAGTCGTGGAACCCGATTTTCATCGATAATTAATTCAAAAAAACGAAAAAATCGCTAGTTATAAAGAAAAGCCCAATTAACCCAATTTGTTCAAAAAGGCAACTTGCAGTTTTACAATCCATGTGAAAATAAAATTTGGTTTTTTTGCTTTTAAGGCAGCAAAAAGCCAGCAATTTAAGGCAGCAAAAAGCCAGCAATTTAAGGCAGCAAAAAGCCACCAAAAGCGCACAATTTCTTCCCGTAAATCTAAATTTAATTAAAAATTTCAAGAAATATAGATGGTTTTTTGGCAAAATATGAAACTTTTCAAGTAAAATCTCTAGATCAACTGGTATTCGACCTGAAACCTAGGGATAGAGCACTGATACAAGAATTTCAGGCCTTTTGGAAGGATTGCCTATTTTTTACTCCCATCCTTTCATCGGTTGCCAAAATGTATGCACTATATGAATATAATGAGAAGCTTTTCGCCTGCTCCGTCTGTGAAAAGCGTCTGGCTCGTCTTCGCTTCAGCTTTTATCGAGCTGGCCCCTGGGTGTCCTTCATCTCATGTTTTGAGTGTTTATGCCAGTGATGGACGAAATAATAACGAATCGTATTGCGCGAATCGTTGTTGATATGAGCCGCTCGCAACGGCTCACGGCTCAAATAAACAAAATGCGATTGCGTAGCTATAACACGTTTTCGCCCTAATCGAGCATGACCAGAATTTTCATTCGATTTTCCTTGGTCTTGGCAGATTGTTGACAGGTCTTTTCGGCCAGTGTTTTGGCCTACGGCTGGACAAAGCTTTCGCATCGAGGTCCAACATATCGCCGGCTACGGCAATTATCTCTGCATTCGCAACAATGGGTCACCTCCGTCGTTGTTTTTCCTGCAAAAATGATGCCATTGGGGCTTGTCTGTCTATAACTTCCTTTATTCTATTGCTGTTTACATCACTAGCATGCTCAATTACTCTTCTTCTTCATAGTTGGCCAAATTTCCACTACACTTTTATCAAGTTGGTACATGAGCATTTACAAGATTCGTACAAAATGCTTAAGGTGACCATATGCATGGTACTTTTTTCGTTGTATATGAAGTATGTGTAGTTCACCAGCTTTTACCGCCTTGATATGACGGCAACAGTAATTTTCTAAGCATACAAATATGAGTTTCTAAATATGTTAACGAATTCGTTAAATAGAGAAATTTACAAATTTTTGGAAGTTAAATATGTTAACGAATTCGTTAAATAGAGAAATTCACAAATTTTTGGAAGTTCGGTGCAATACTTATGGTCCGACCTAAAATATTCGCATGCATTTTGACCGAAAATCTTCTTTTAAACTCTAAAATTTATTTTCAAGCTTTTCGCGTTATGTAAGCGCTGCACGTAAAATGCTTTTCTCGAAAACTTCCTTTTTCATGATCTTCCCAAAGAATGCAAAAAACATTCCAATTTTCTTCAAATTTGTTTCATTTCTCGTCTTTTAAGACGCTAAAGGCAACAGACTTGGCCATAGGAGACCGTCGCAGTTCATTCTAGAAAGTTATAGGAAAAGAAGTACAAGGAGAAGCAAAGGGAAACTTAGGAAAATACTATAGTACATTTGGTCAGGAATATTTCGTAAATTGCTGGGTATATGTGCATTTGCGACATCGAACATGCTAGAGATTAGAGTGTCCCTCAACTCTGAAATTGTCTACGATCATTAGGAAACTTTTGGAATTTTAAAAAAACACAAAGAAAGAGTAGCAAAAATTGTACTAAATCCCAAAATTTTCTGTTAATGTGTAGTACTTAAAAAACGCTTCTCTTATTTCTCCTCTATCTAGGAAGCACGTTCCCCAATCTAATATGAATATCTCTAACGCTCTAGCGTTTCCACTCAGCTTGATTAACAGAACGCTGGAAAACTAATTAGAATAGACAAGCAGAGCTCTGGAAAAACCTTGATCAAAAGTTTTTTGTAGTCAGTTTTTGGACACTACTTTCACCTTAATTAAATGTTGCGCTTTCTTAACCAACGAATGCATTTTCCAATCAGCTTTTTGAGCATAGGTCACAATTTCAAGACTATCTTCTAAATGAAAGTGAAAGTGTGCTCTGTTTCTTGGAAGAGAATTGACACCCAAATTTTCAAGCAGTTTCATTTCTTGTTCATGAGATCCTTTGCTGAACTCTATAGCTTTCCCAATAATGCTTGCATAATTTTTATGGTGTATCTTTATTATTGGTAAAAATCATAAAGAGCGTGGTGACCTGCTTGGCATTAATTCTAATGCGCAAGTGCAAAAACAACTATAGAGTAGCAGAGTGGGGTTCCATAATCCATTATAAGTCTTCCGTCATGTCATCGAAGACCTTTCTGGTACAATGTACTTATGGATAATTCAGTATGCTTTTTTCTGAATCAAGTTGCTCATTTCAGTGAACTATGAGATTAAATTTGCTACGTTTTTTTTTCTGTTTAAAAACTTCCACAAAATTTTTACAGATCAGCATGCTATGTGCGTGCGGCACGAATTATTTCAATGAAAATTTAATAACAGGCGCTGATCTTGGAAAATAAATTGTCTTTCCTTTTCAAAGCTTGTAGACTTTTTTCGAAAGAATTCCGAAAAAAATTTGCCAGAATAACACATCCAGATACCAATATAAAATATCAATTTTGTTCAATGAAAGGCAAGCGAAGAAAAAGTAGAAAAGAATATTTCTTGTAATAGCAAAATGGTCAACGGCCTTTCTAATCCGCTCGCCATAGCCTCGCGCCTTTGATTGGTCAGTATATCTGCTGATTGGCCAGCCATTGCTCTGGGCGGAGAAGACGGCGAGTTGTCGTGCAAATGCGTCGCTCGTTCAGTACTATACGTCAATCACCTCCATCACACTTGGTTGTTGGGACAGATATATCATACGCTTTGAACCATGACAATTTTTTACCATGTGATGTGACTCGTCCACTTTTCGTCTGCATCGCACGCGACGAAATTAGCATTGCGTGCGAATTGTGCTCTGTGGTCACACATCCTTATGGTTTTGAAAAAAAAATTTCTTGCAGAAAAGTGGAAAATTCCTTGATCTCTCCTGCTCTTATTCCCCTCTTCCTCCTCCTCCCTCTTGCCTTTATGCAAAACCTTGTCACAAACGTCCTCAAAGCATCATCTGCTCTCATATCACACTCTTCTTGGTTGCCATAAACGGAATGACCTTGCGTGCGTAACGCCTCAAGGTTGATGTTTTCCTAATCAGGAAACACGATTGATATGCACATAAACTGATGCCATAAAAAACTTAGTGCATGTCTCATGAAATTCTATGCGTTCAAAGCGCTGTTGAACAGCACGAATCTCCTAATGCGTTTCTCATGAATTCTTGAAAAACATGCTGGCATTGCCATCATAAAGCGCTTGAACAAAGCGAATCCCATCCTCAGAAGCTAGTTCAATGGATATATATGGCTGCTGAAACCAGAGAATGTGCTCGGCGTTTCAAGACTAACGGTGTAATTGGCAATTAGAAAGGCATCAGTTACATAGCAAGAACGGCCCATAGCTTGCCGGTCATCATGAAACGCATTTTCGAATTATAATATTTTTATTCTCTCGCATCTACCATTTCTAAGTGCTCGGTCATCATCAAAAAGCTCCCTCCTTCATCCAACAATTGGTAGCAAAATTTTGAAAGTAGTTCATGTAAGTGGCAAAGTTGGGCAGGTATCTTTTGAGGTCCCAGAAAGAAGATCAGACATCCGAAAACTTTTTCTATGGTGTGCTGTGTTATTCTCGCTCAAATTGTATTTATGTCTACATTTTTATGATAATGTTTCGACGGGACACTATAAAATCTAGTTTGTAACAACTTGCCGCAATCTATTTTTTTGCAAATTATAAATTACAATAATGACAGTGTCGTTTTCCGCCACGATGCTGGAAAATGTAATTTTTGAAATCATTCGTAATTGAACGGAACCATCGAGTGACTCTAAAGCTATGTGAGTGAAAGAAGTTTGAAGCATGTCCAAGAACAGCAATAAAAACCTAAGAGGTACAGAATAAAACTGAATTTTTTTTTCAATTTTTGTACTATCACGGACACTGGTGAAAGAGTCTGACTGATACTGTCTGCAAGCTGATCGGCTGCATATGCTGGTAGGAAATTCATCCTCTGAAATTATAGCAAATATATAAAGCCAAACTTCTTCAAATGTGACTCTCAATTGCAGAGAACATGAAATTCTGCAAGTTTCATCATTCGAGTCCATTTTTTGCATTAGACAGCATTAACAGAAGCTCCGCGCTTTTCCCGTTGCAGTAATTATTGATGTCCATACATGTAAACTTTATCTAATAATAATTAAAAGCTCTTTTCCTATCGTAATTCAAAATTTCTTTCACGGGAATAAGGAACCATTAGATCATCACACAGCAAAACATTTACAAAATTTCGCCTTCTTTAGTCATGAATCTCTATTTTTATTCGCAGTGCAGTATATTTGTATTTTCAAGCCTCGCTTATTATTTTAACAAGAGGATGATCGGCAGGCGTAGAGGCGGGCAAGAACGAGAAAAACTCGAAAAACCCTCCTCCCTCGAAATGGTAGCAAAATCTTTTTGTGATGATCTATAAGAGTAAATAGTTTACCCACGCAACGAGTTGAGATTTTGAAAGATCCCAGAAATGTGGTCTTATTTCTCTGCGTTTGTGGATTTTGTGTTTGCAAAACTTTTTTGGTTTTCTGGAGGATTTAGAACGAAGCCCTCTGCCTTGCTTTCTATGATTTTCATGTCGTCTTACTTCCCCCAATCCCCTCCCCCGCTCTCTGACGATGCTGCTGTGGAAGTGCGTCCTTTAAGAACATCAAGATCGCTTGATAAGGGGGAATTCTGGAAGTTTATGAAATACTTTTAGAGCGATTTTGCTGAATGTTGTTCTTCATAAAATAAAACCTTCAATGTTGCTTTGTCATTCTGACCAAAGCTTAAAGATCTGTCCTTTGTAGAAGTATACGCTGGTTGATGACTTAGTAATTATGCGACAACTTTGACTCTTCAATTTATCAGGATGGCGAGATCATAGCTTATTCTCGGATGTGACATTCACGTGCTTTAAATTGGAAATTAAGAATTTATAAGCATGTGCATGGGTAAGTGCTCTTGCTCCCAAAGTACAGCAACCAAAAACATCGTCTCAATAGTCTCATCAGTAGCGTACTTATTCATCTTCTCGCCTTCTTGAAAACAGAAATCCGGTTGATTTTGATCGACGAAAATAAAAAAATCTGCACTCAACCACTCTGCGCAACATTCTTCTTGTCAGTCCTTACCGATACTCAAATTATTCCTCATTTGAAAGCATTCGGTGCCTCTTTCTCATCTATAGTTTTGAATGAAATGACAGCAACTGTCATAGAATTCGTTTGCTAGCTTAAAAGGTACCAGATATGTAGTGGTTTTGATTAACAACTGCACTGTCTCACTGTTATTGTCCAGTTGAGATTTCAAGAGCATTCGCTTGCCTTTTTCTCCTGAGGTTTTAAAGCAAGCAAAGGAGCAATATCGAGAATTCTGTACGTTGAAAAGCATCTATCTCTATCTAATGTAGGAAAGAACTGGATAAAGGACGTGAACCACTTTTAAATGGTGAAAATAACCGTATCATTTTGACTGCATGAGCATACCAAATAATTTTGTCGTACATTAACTGGCTTAGGTGTTCTCAAGTCCCAAAAGTAAACTTCGTTTCCAAAATTGAGCTGTTTTTGCTTCCTAACAGACTTAGGGTACTGTTCGATAGAGCGGAGCAAGCTTTACAGAAAGACCACCGAAAATCGTAATCCAGATGAAATTTGCAGGCAAAAATCAAAATTTTTTAGCTACCCTAAAAATCGGATCTCCCTCCAGAAAATTTCTATGAACTTCCAACTTGGTCTTTATATAGAGACACATAGTACGTATTTGGTGGATTTTTCTGGGGTTCATTGAGAAAAAGATGGTCTAAAAATGCCAAAATGCCACTTTTTTCTGTTTTTTCGTGTAAAACTTGGTATTTCTCGACTATAAGAGCACATACTATGGTGAAGTTTTAAGAACTATACTTCGTAAAGCTTGCAGTATCAACGATATATGTGGGAGCGGCTCGGGGCGGAGTCTGCCACGTTTGGACTATCTTTTTTTCTCGCTTTATATGCGCGGAGAAATCCAGTAAAGGTATTTTTGAGTTCTACTATGTGCCTACTGTATAATGGCTAAGTTGGAGGTCCTAGAATTTTTTCGCAAAGATCCAACTTTCAGGTGAAAAATTTTTTCTTTTAATTTTAGTTTCAAATCTTACACAAAATGCTACTTAGACGAATCCTTGGTGTCATTAGGGCTTAATCTGCTCTATCGAATGATATCTTAAGTCTGCTAGGAAAACAAAAAACAGCCTGAATTATCTAGACTTTATTTTCGAGACAACCTCATAAATTCTTAGATGCTTTTTTTTTCTCAGAAATACTTGAATGATGATTCTCATTGTTAGGTAAAAAGGAAAATATCGCGCCAGGTAAATAAGTGTTACTTTCTTCCGGATATTTCAAACACTTTTCTTTGTCCATAGAACCCATCATCACACCTCCATTCATGCACATCACCCTCTTTAAACTTCCTCCTTTCCAAGTGAATAAACAAAATTCAAACAATAGCGTGGGCGCGAATAGTGCAAGAAAGCGGAACGACAAAAGGTCGTGAACGTTGTTGTGCAGAGTGACGTAAATCTCAATGTATATACCCAAGTTTTGAGGTGTCTGCTGAAATGTTGTTGTACTTTCGTTGTTCTGAATTGTGAAGTATTTGCGAAGTGCTTGCGCACTTCTTCTCTTTGTGTCGTTCATCCACTCACCTCACAATTTAGGTAAGCCTGAGTTTGGTAAAGCCTAGCTTTTACCCTTCCCGTAGGGTATAGGTAAGAAATGTGTAAAATAAGACAAAATCAAATCTAAAATTATCTGCATGGCGCTCACATATGCATCTGTAACGATCTAAAAATTTTTGTGAGGGTAAGCAATGGAGGGGGGGGGGGGGAGGGAAGCATGACATTTCAGTAGATTTTTCGCAAATCCTTCTTGATCTCCAGCAAGCTCTTTGAAATCTCGGTACGAAGGACCGCCAGCCCCTTGCTACTTTTTTTGAATCTTTCTGTACCCAAGTTTCTTGAACTGTATTGAATTATTTTTGGATTATCAATAGAGCTAAGTCCTCGCATTTTAGAGCAAAGCCTTATAATTTTCAGCGTTTGGATTTCAACAGTGCATACTTTATTTCACGGATGAAGATCCAAGCCTTCCTTCCTCACTGAGGAATTCCGAAGAGGATTCAGACATTTATCTAACAAGGAAAGCCTTTCTAACAAAAGAGAAACTTATCTGTGTTACTTTTTCACTCCGTTTCGTTCTTTCCCTTAGGGGAGTATGAGTTGATTTCTGAGTCTTCCCTGGAACTCCTCAGTAAGGAAGGAAGACTCATATCAAGTAAAAAGTTGAGATTTAGTCTGATTAGATTAAGAAATTTGGCCTTTTTGAATGAGTTCTACATTACTTAAGAAAACGCGGAACCCAATCCAGATCTGCTTTCCTTTCCTTTCCTGGTTCGAGTCATAAATTAGGGAAAACCTGTAAAAAACACCTGAAAGTGGCTATCCATTTCTGTATAGAGTCTATGAACTAGAAGGAAGGATTACTGCCAGAATATGAAGAGTGATATAGGTGTTATATGAAAAGGCCACTTTGACTAGAAAAGCTACCTTGTAAGAAGAAAAGTGTAGCAGTTTTTAGATCCAATACTTGCTTATCTCGAAATCATTATTTTTCCATTTTTGCACTTTTAAAAGTGATCCTGAACGATTACTTTTTGCTGCCACATAACTGAATATTTCATATTCGCCTTGCGCAGGCGAAAATGTGCCTGTCAATGCGGCTATAAAATATCTAGTTGACCACCTCATGCCAAATACGCAGTATCATCCATCAACTTCATTCAAAATATCCCAATGCTTTCTCAACTGCATCACTTCTGCCACTCATCGCTTCTGAAACGACATGAAAAACAGTAATTTCACTCTGATAAAAGACAGTTGTTATGCGAGTGAAAACCTTTTCAAATGCGACTCATCCATTTATTTTTTGGCGTACCAATTAGTTCTCGCAAGCATTGGTAGACATTCCTCTCATGTAAGTAGCCATGGGAGATGGAAGCTCATAAATTCTTAAAGGAGTAACTTTTATTTGAAGTAACTTATCGATCAAAAATCAATTCATGCATCATCAAGTATTTAGGCGTACCCAGGATTTAAATTCGGGGGGGGGGGGGGAGGGGGAGACGCAACAAAAAATTTTTTCTGATGAAGGTGTGTAGCCTTAAGGGCCGGACATACTTCACGCGAATTCAGTCGCGAGGCGATTTGGCAATATTCCAACTGTCCATAACTCATTGTAAGCACATTTTGAATGTACAAAAGATAGGGCAATTTATCAGTCCACGTAAGATTATACATACTATGCGTGTGCAGTTTGCTAGCGTTGGATCTAAAGACTTCTAGCGGATTGCCAAATGGCTCCGCGACTGAAATCGCATGAAGTATGCTCGGTCCTTTAACCACGCACTCAGAAAAATTTTTTGATATTCTTTCCAAAATTTCTGCGAGCCCCTAACCTCGAAATTGAAAAAAAGGGAGCGGCGCCAGCACGCCCCCAAAAAAATTTTTTTGTAAGGTTGAATTGAGTTTTTAAAAATTTAAATATTTTTAGTTAACAAGTAGAACAAGTTACTTGCACATTTCTGTAACTCTTTCAAAAATTTCGCGACCCATTCTGGGGACGCGTCCCCCCCCCCCCCCTCCCTTCTCGGTACGCCACTGGTAATACCGGCAGGCATTAGCAAGAGGCCAATTTCGAAGGTTTTTGATGAACTGCAAGCGATCAAGGAGGTTCATTTTCAGCATTATTTTATTTTACCAAAGTTAGTGGAAAAAACCTTTGTGGATTCTGAATCTGTCATCTGCAAAAGCACCTAATCTAAGCCTTAATTCAAATTATTAGGTTGATGCATAATTCCTGCACCAAAATAGGTACAGACCGCAATAACTCGGAATAATCCTATATCCCAAGTAGGATTC